TGTGACATCTTTTTGTTTGTTTTGTTTTGTTTATCTTACTGGTCTTTTGCTGGTGTATTATGGTTTCCACGATAGGGGGAGTTGGCTTCCCTGCATCTTTCAAATAGAAGGCACTTTTCTAAGTTATCCCTTTTATACAATCTGGACAAAGGCAACTGGGAAATGACAACAAAGAAGTGAAAACTATAATCAAGCTTTTAGGCCATTTTGAAGAAAGGTTACATAGGAAAGTGCAAGGTCTGGATGCATTCCCTTGAAATATACATGCTTCAACCAGCAGAAAGACCACTATTTGAACTACACTAAACATTATAGGTAAATTCTCAGCCAGTTTTCATGAAGTGATATTTGAGAAAGTTAATAGGATATTAACAAAAGAAAACTTGTTTCAATAAACCTAATAAATTTCCTGAAGCCTGCTTGACATTTCTGACTTGGACAAAGAGTTTCAAAACTATAGAAGACTGAGTTCTTGCATGGCACAAAGGCATTTGAACATCTGTCTCTCTTTAGGAAGGGCAGTGTGAAATGACATGGTCATTTACTAATAGCGCTGTGAAAGAAAGCATTATCTAGTCTGGGAAGAAAGAAAAGAGCTAATGTGACTATCTTTGTGGGAGGGGCATGCCGGGAGCACAGGAGCGCTTTTTTTTTCAAATGAGCGCTATCAGGTGACACTCCTGAGAAATGCACTTGTTTGTCGCGGCTTGCTTACTTAGCAATCTGTTACTGAAGGAAAGGTTCTATGAGCTGGAAGTTAACCTGTAAAACAGAAAGAAAAGCTAACCCCAGACTGTAATGTGAACTGTCTTAGTTGCTGTTTGATTGCGGTGAGCGTGATCAAGGCAACTCACAAAAGAAAGCAATTAGGGGCTTGCTTTCTGAGTCAGTCCATGAGCACATGGCAGGGAGCATGGCATCAGGCAGGCAGGCAGGGCACTGGAACAGTGGCTGAGAACTCACGTCTCCTCAGCAAGTTGAGGGCAGAGAAAGCAAGACTGGATCTGGTATGAGCTTTTAGACCTCAAAGCCCGCCCCCAGTTGGCACACCTCCTCCAACAAGACCACACCTCCTAGTCCTTCCCAAACAGTTCCAACTGGGGACCAAGCATTCAAATATGTGAGCCTCCGCAGGCCATCTTCATCCACACCACCATGTGGACACAAACATACATTAATTTGCAGTCAACTCATTTACCTGCTTTTTCCTGTAAATCCTTGTAGAATCGGTATTCATTATTACTAGTTTTCTCAGTAAGGACTTTAATAAAACTTGGGCACAGCATTACTCCAAATTTCTGTGAAAAAATATTACCTCTAGGGGTAATATGCCTAACTTGGTACCTAGTATGGTAAAAATGCCACATTTAGGGGTGTTCTAGCATTGATTTGGATGATCAATTTCTTTATAAAATCCTTATTTCATATCCAACTGATTTGGACAGAAAGGTAGGTGGCCATTATTTATTTAATTTTATCACCCTAGCATTCAAATATTCTGTTAGAAGAACTCTAATGAAACACGTGCTTCAGAACATTCTTAATTACTTTTTAATAGTCTGAATTTGGCCATGAAGAAAAGAGAAAGTTGATTAATTTACGTCAAAAGCTTCAAATTCTGTGAAGTATGTTAGACCTTTCTTTATAGCCATCTGGCACATTCTGGCTTTGAATAGCAACTTCACAGAAACATTATCTGCAAGCAAAGAAATCTTCATGAGCAAATTCTATTCTATACCTTGTGGAAGGGTTTCATATTTCTGTGGCTATGACAAGAGCCTAAATATGTCAGCACGAACTTGCATCCTACTTGAAATGATTTTACTAAATTCATCCTTGTATCCTAGATACAAAAGCCTACTCTGACTACTTAGGGGCTACCAGAGAATTCAAGTGTCAATTCAATACAGTTACAGGAGTGTCCCCTTTTTACTTTCCACCAGCTCCTACTTTCTCTCTCCATTGAAGGCTACAGCACCTTCTCTAGCAGTTTCTTGAGTTCTGGGGTTCCTAACCCCTTTTCAAGGTTACATACAAGTTCTGGAGAATACACAAGTACCACCTAACTTCTCAGATGAGTGTGATAAGTGTGCATCTTGGATGAGAGCCCTTCATCACAGACTCATCAGCACTTCAAGCTGAAGGCACTCAAAGTAAGTCCATCAGCACATTGACAGTCTTTGGGTCCTTGGGTCCTTGTGCTTGGGGTTCAAGTTTTACATCAACTTGACATGAGCTAAAGTCATCTGAGAAGGGAACCCTTAGTTAAGAAAATGCCTCCATAAGATTGGGCTGCAGGCAAGCCTGTAAGGCATTTTCTTAATGATTGATGGAAGAGGGCCCACTCTATTGTGGTGGCCCTGGGTTCTGTAAGAAAGTAGGCTGAGCAAGCCACAGGGAGCAAAGCAGTAAGCAGCATACTTCAAGGCGTTTGCATCACTGCCTGCCTCCAAGTTCCTGCCCTGTTTGAGCTCCTATCCTGACTTCCTTCAATGATGAACAGTGATATGGAAGTGTAAGCCAAATAAACCCTTTCCTCCTCTACTTGCTTTTTGGCCATGGTGCTTCATGAAAGCAATAGAAATCCTAAGTCAGTCCTCCTCCAGTGTACCACCTTAGTGAAGGAAATCCTCATCCCCTCTGAGACATTTTTCCTTGGACAAGGGAGCTCCAGTGGCCCTGAAGTGGGAAAGGCAGGTTCTTGTATCCAGAATACCAAAGAACACTTACAATGTTCATCCTCTACTCTGCGTTGTCACGAAAAAATACAAGTGTGAGGTGCAAATGACTAAACTCATTAATGTTTGCTTTCAGAAACCCAGGACAAGCAGCTAACTGAGGTGCCTATTAATATATCAAAGGATACACTGGCTAGCTCTCCCAGAATCACTGTTATCTACCTGTGGCCCCTCCAGTTCTCCCAGCATCACTCAGTACCTGTGGCTTTTCACCCCAGCTCCCACCCTGACTTAAACCTCGCACTCTCGGGGACTGGACTTCTGTTTCCCTTCCCCCAGCCTGATCCTTATGTAACTCAGCCAGTTTGGCTACACTGGTCTCTTCCACTCTTGGCCTTTTGGCCTGGACCACCTCTCGGCCGATCGCTCCTCTTACTCTCCCTCCCACTCTCTCTTCTCAGGGTCTGGTTTGGTCTGCCTGCCATATTCAGCCTGGACTCTCCCCTCTCCTGCTTTCTCCCTTATATCTTCAATTAAAGTTTTCTCTATACTTTATGAGCAGTCATGCCGTCCTCCTATTATGTCTTTTCTCATTCAGTTAAGGCATAAACAAAACAAAAAGCCAAAAAACTAGAAGTGGGACTTGGGGCGAAGAAGTGGCTATAGGAATGGGGAGCAAATAAGAGAGGGTAGGGTGAAAGCAATCAGAATGTGTTACGTGTGTGTATGAAATTTTCAAAGAACAAAGTTAATAAGAGAAGAAAACTATAAGTAGAATCAATTTTATGTAAATCCAGAATCATTACCACGGCTCAAAGCCTTACGTGCTCGAGCCTCACCTGGCTTTTTTCTTTGACTTAGACTCCCATGACTCCATCACCCGTACTGAACTGTGTACCTGCTATCTCCAAGTCTCTCTTTAAGCTACTCTGACTTCCAACCATGGTGGACTTTTGTGATTGAGCAATGAGCCACAATAAACCCCTTCTTCCAGAAGTTGCTTTTGTCAGAGTATTTTTGTCCCAGTAACAGGAAAAGGAGCAAAGACAGCACACTGCTCAGTATCTCCAACAGACCCTGACTCCTCATAAACGTGACTCTGCCTGACTTTGAAAGTCCTCCAGCTTGCTGACCCATCCTGATTCTAACGGGAGATTTTCCATCCTATGTTTTCTGGCCCACCATTCTTCAGACTTTCTCAAAAGCATTTCCCTCTCCCCTGTGTCTTCCTGTGCTTTCTGAAATGACCTTCAACCTCCTCTCTACCCTACTGTTACATAGTCTCCATGTTTCAGTTCATCCAGAGAAACCACACTGAACTGCTACAGCCATTCATAATCCCTCCTTTTGTGAATACTCACCGCCTGCTCCTGAAACTTATAAACCAATGCTATGCTGCCTTGCACCATCACTGTTTGGTTTGTGGGTAATGCTAAACTTTCTAGCTCACAGCTTCATCAAGATCCAGATTAGATATTTTGAAATTACTTAATTTTATCTTCCATTCTTAACCTGATATTTGATGTGTGCATAGTAGGTGATGCTTTTGATTTCTACTGCCTTTCATTTTCTCAAGTGGTTTTAAGTTGGGAGTGGGGAATTAGTTCTAGGTGTCTTATCTGCTATAGTGTTCATGTGGGAGATTGCATTTCTGTGTGACCTTTCTTGAGACAGTAGAGAATTGAATTTAGGATTTAAAATGTAGAAAAATTATTTGTAGGAAACTATCTAATATTGACTGCAATGAGAACGACAGAAAAATCCTGCCTGTCCCCATATTCCCAAATCCTAAAAAACATCGATAGATACACACAGAAAGCATTGGGTGTTAGCCCAAAAGTGGGTAGAGGATGTTGAATTCAATCTGTCACTACCAAGCTGTGTGGGCTTAAGCATTTGTGCAACTCTGATGGCCCCAGCTCCTCTTCTGCAAAGTTAGATGCTCTGATGATACAACAGGATTCTGCCTTCATTTGACAGAATGCTTAGTCTGCAGTAGAACTAAATGCACATCGGTGGCTTTGATCTTATTTTTCTCTTTCTCCCACATTCTTGTGTAAGAGTTGAAAAAGTGAAGGAAGTGAAGACTCTGGCAATCAGCATGAAACGGAGAAGTTATGCCCCCTGGGCAGTGTCACTCATAATTTAACACAGTTCATCAGCAGCAACCACTTGTGTTTAAGGAAATCTTCAAGAAATGCCCTTCCAGGCCTTCACAGAGTGGACATCTATTTTTTTCCAAGTCAAGGCTTGTAACTCAGCGGAGCATGACTAAAGGGGTTCAGTTCTGATCTGAAGAAAGGATAAATTCTAAGAACGTGGTATGGATGTGATGAACTTTATTACAGAATGTTAAAATTTGAAACTAGGAAGAGGAAGCTTGAGTGTTTCTTTGGTGACTATACTGTGAGACAAACCCCATCCAAGAAATATTTGCAGCCATGTCCCCTGCATTGTGGCAGCATCCAGAGTGAAAGAAGCTGAAACAGAGAGAAAGAGGAAAAGGGGGTGCACTTGCAAAACTCAGTTCCCTCACACCCCAGATGCCTGAAGCCCAGATACACTTTTCTGATTTATCAGTCAGTGTGTATCTCTTATTTGCTTAAGTTTATTCAACTGATGCAGTTGGGGGGGGGGGAAATCCTTATAGAATCCGTGAGATTTTTTAAAAAAATAATAATTTTCTAAGACAAAATGTAAACACCTCTGTTTTGGAAGTGCTTCTCAGTAATCTAAGTACCCTGAAGAGGGCACTGTTTGCATTCACATCTCTCTCTCTCTCTCTCTCTCTCTCTCTCTCTCTCTCTCTCTCTCTCTCTCTCTCTCTCTCTCTCTCTCTCTCTCTCTCTCTCTGTCCCCCTCTCTCTCCTTTCCTCTTTTCTCCTCTCCTTGTCCCCTCCCCCTTCCTTTCTGAGTGAACTGCAAAAGAAAAAAAACTACTGTATTTGGAGAGTCATAAACCTGAGCGTTCAGTGAGCTAGCACAGGGAAAAAGGAAAATGAAGACACCACTAGCTGTGATTCTGTGGCTGCAGCTAGACTGTGAGTTAACTCTTCATTGTTAAGGGAGCTCTAACAGGAGAGGAATTATCTGTATATTGTGCAGTGATCAGCAACAAGGTTCGGGCTGCCTCACCTGGATTCCTTGAAGAAGAACTAGGTGATGGAGTAACCAGTGACCCCATCCTTCCAGAATGTTCTCTTTGCACAGGGTTAAGCGGAGAGATGACAATACAGCAAAGCCCTCTGCTCCTGCGCACCTTGGAAGGAAGGAACAGTACTATCCACTACAATTATTCAAGCACTGCTGCAGACAGACTGATCTGATACAGACAGGATCTGGGGGAAAGCCTGGGGCTTCTGTTTGTGCTGCTGTCAAGTGGAGCAGTGAAGAGAGATAGAAGGCTAACGGCCTCACTTGGTGCCAAAGCCCGTGTCACCACTCTGAACTTCCCACGACTCCAGCACAGCCACTCTGCCACCTACTTCTGTGCCATGAGCACACAGTGCTCTCCTGACGTTGTTGGCCTATGCCCAAACCTGCATTTGGCACTCCAGGCTTCCTTAAAACTCGGTGGTTGTGTGGCTTAGCTCTGCATGTTTCTGCAAGAAAAATCCTGAAACAACTGGGAAAAGATAGTGTTTAACATTTATTTCCTTAAAAGGAGAGTACATTTAAGAAGGAAAACCCTGAACATGTTTTCCCTGAAACTATAGTGTCTTATTCTCTATGGCCTCACATTCAGCATTCATCAGCCTTTCATCCCAAAATGAGTTTACCTTTATTATTGTTTGTGATGTAGCCTCACAAATAATTTCTATAAAATATGGAGTTGTTGCTTGTCTTATATGTGAATGTAACATATAATGCTTAGCAGTGGGGAAAAAAGGAGTACATAATTTATGAGACTATTCTATGAGCAGCTCCTTGCCTAGTATTCCTCAATAAAACAGGGAGCACAGTAGTCAAGTAAATCATGTGATACAGGCATCTGTTGGCCACAATATTTGGGGAGATTTTTGTGGGTAATAAATGGGTTAACTGAAAAGCCCTGCACATGAACTGGTGAGTGAAATCACTACTTCTGCCTTATAACCCTGAGATACAAATTCTCTTTTGTCTCTTTAATTTTTCCAATTAATGTTAGAAAAACTAACTGCCAAATATGCAGAGACCTCATTATCTCTCTCTCGAGACCTCCCCTACTACTGCCTGAATCATTTGAGACTACAGGAGACATAAGCCATTGAAGGAAGTTGCTCCATACCCATAGCCAACCACTGGCCTTGTTTCTTACTGACATTCAGTTTTCCCTACAGTCTAAGAGGAAATGTTAGATAACTGCTAACGCAGCCCCTGAAGTATGACCCTACACTGTGGGTCACAGCTTGGCCAACCTCACCTCCTTCCTGGATTCCCAAGCGTGAAGAATTTGTCAGTACCCTTTGCACAGATACATGACCACTTTCTGCCCTGGTAACCATGGAATGCTAGGTTTAGATGGGTTCTGATAATTATGTCATGCCCCAACCCCAGTCCTGTAAGTATTATAGCTTGAATGGAAAGGAATTCTGCAGTAGGGAGACAAGGAATACCATGAAGTCATAAGAAAACTTTCACAAGAGAGTCATTGGGGGAATCTCAGGAAGATGGCTGCCTCTGCTCAGCAGAGAACTGAGCACAAGACAGGGTTCATATAGCTTTTCTTGGGGGATGGAGCTTTCTGGGGCAGATCTTTCCAAGGTAGGGATTGGTAGGATTGCAAGTCCGGAACTTGAAGTAAACTTAGGGGTTTGTGAGATCTTGGCTTGGGCTTTTCAACTCTGTAGCAAAGTTAGAGTGCTCTGTGGGTGAAACCTGGTGGTTGAAGGTCCTCAGAGGAGGGACCAGTAACTCATACTCCTCTGGGGGCTTACACCTCCAAAAGTAGCTCCTTTTCCATTTTCTGCACTCTCTACTTAAGTGACAAGGTATTTTGTTTTCCAGACTATCTGCTTCCCTGTCTCTAGGGTAACAGCAGTAAGGGTGTGTACCAACTCAATTAAGTAAAGGCATTCTTAGTAACCTATGACAAACTGTGGGCCTGTGTTAACCAAGGATTCCTTCAATGACCACTGATGACTTAAAGTCCCAGATAAGACTCTATAGAGGGACAAATCCCAGTTTTCTATGAAGAATGCCTCAGAATGATCACACAGAAGCAACCTAATGAACACTGTCCTCAGTGAGTCTGTATGCGTTTCCCAAGGCTGCCTTCCTGAATAAGACTGAGAAGTGTGTAAGTGAATTCAATATAATTTAATTAAAAGAATTAAAAGTATGCATTAAGTTCAAATCTCCTTTCTGAAGCATTGAGGAAAATACTGCTTAAAGAATTGTTTGTTCCTAGGTCCTGCTGTATCTCTGTGTGTCTGTAAATTTTTTTCCAAAACCTTTACAGTGGGCAGTAACTGTATAAGAAACCTTCAAGAAATCCAAGTGTGTTCTTGATTTTTTTTAATTCACTGTTATGTACTGAATGTTTGTGCCCCTGAAATTTATATGCCATAGTCCCACCCCTAGTATAGTGGTATGCATAGGGGTGGATTGGTGCTCTCATAAAAGTCAGAAGCTAAAATGCCTGCCATTCTCTGGCTTCACCATGAGAGAGATGGCAGTCTATAGTTCTGAAGAGGACTCTCCCTAGAACTCTACCATGCCGGCACCTGATCTTTGGTTCCCTCCCTACAGACATGGAAGAGAGAAATATCTGTTGCTGATGTCAGTCAGTTTATAACTTTAGAATATTGGCCCAAACTAAGAAACATACACATCTTCTCAGTTCTTTTTTTTTAAGATTGGTTGATTATGTATACAGTGTTTCATCTGCATGTTTGCCTGCACACCAGAAGAGAGCACCAGATCTCATTACAGATGGCTATGTGCCACCATGTGGTTGCTGGGAATTGAACTCAGGACCTCTGGAAGACAGTCAATGCTCTTAACCTCTGAGACTTCTCTCCAACCCCATTTTCTCAGTTCTTAAAGAGGACATGATTTTCATCTTCAGGCCACATAGTTGATAAGCACAGTGTGATAGATCAGGCTTATCATTTAGTAAATAGAAAATAAACAAGAGAGATTTTTTTCTAAAAGTTCTGCTTTTCATTCCAAATTCATAAATGTAGAAGCCCCTGAAATCACGCTGTGGCTTCAAATGGGCTATAAGCTGCAGAGATATGGAAGTTGATCACATTCTGCCATGTGTCCATAAGTAGTATAAAAACAAAGCCAGAGTGAGGTTCACAGTGTTCAACTCGTTTCCTCTGTGGTCATCACAGAAGAGTGAGCACGTGACTGGAAAGAAAACACAATTACCAAAGCAGTATTGCCAACAGAATCCAATGGAACACAGTCAAAACAGAGCCCTAGCAGCTGGCTTGGTGTTTTTTAAAAGAAAGGATAGAATAGAAGATCCATAACTTCTCTGCCAGTGTTGGCACAAAACTTCTGATCACCAAGTGGATTACACTCAAATAGCCCCAAATAGCTCAGGCCATATTTATTTATACTTAAATATAGTTTTTTCTTTCTTACCAGGGTTACATGAACAGCTTTATTACTGACTTCTATTTTTGACTTTAAAAAATGCATCACAATTTAAGGAATATATCGTGATCATTAGGAAAGCCCCCATTGTTCCCCTTTATGCTTCCCCAATACACCTTCCCACTCCCTGCATAACCTTATTCTAGACACAGAGTTCGGCATTTTTGCAAGCCTTAACTAAATATCAAGCCAGACACATGCTACTCTTGCAAGCACTTATGTCAGCTAGCAGCTACACGCTGTTACAAAGTTAAAAGTAATAGACATAAGCACAATGCTTTAAGGACAACAAGATTCAAACCCAGATAATTATTTATTTCGTGTCTGCAAAATATGTGTTTATGCAGTTCCCTTTTCTGCAAGCGGGTCCTGTGTCTCAGCCTCGCTGTAAAAGGCAGACTTTGATGAGGCGTTCTTTTCCCATCTCACAGTACCATATTTTTTCCACCAATATAAGTTCCTATACATGGGAAAGATGACTATTCATTGTACATTGTACATTGCATTATTTCCATCAGAATATACTAGATCTTATCATTGATTCTATGCTCAGTCCCCAGGAAACTTACTCTTAACAGTTGGCACTGTATGTATTCCTGAAGCCTTTTCCCTATTCTGTGTAGGCATGCCTTACTCCATTCCAGAATTGTGAGACATGGTTAATGTTCCAAGTGTTGTTTTCTCATATGTACCTAACTACCTCTTCCAGAGTTAGTAGTTGTAGTTAGCAATTCCAGATAAGAGATTTGAGAAGCATTATCCCCCCCATTGAATCTTAGGGGAAAATATTTGAAAAGGAACAGATTTTCCATGGAAAATTACAGCTGTTGCATGTGTGACTGACAAAATAAAACTAAAAACTGCCCCCCAAAAACACCAATATAATGAGAGAAAAGAGTGCAAGCTGCACAATCTTTGCAAATTCATACACTGTCCTGTGGACTACTGGTCCTTGCCAAGTGAGAATCTGTTTCCACAGGTGCCTTGCCCCAAGGAAACCTGTTGGCCTGGTGGCTGATCCAATACTAGGCTGCATGGCCTAGAAGTACATTTTTCCCTTTTTAATTTTAGAAAAAGAAAGAAAGCAAATGTACATTTAAAAATCCCTGAGTATAGTGGTATATTCTCCTATGCTGTTAAAGCTGCAGAAGAGGGGGAAGTTATTAATAAATAGTAATAGTAGCTGACCATCTCTGAGCAGGAAATTTATTGTATTTCTCCTCCCATCATCTCTCCACCCATAGATAGGTGTCAAGGCACAGCATTCTCATTCCCAGAAAGATTTACATAATTGAGATGCTCTTTGAAGCCAATCAACAAGACTGTACCAAAAATACTCCAGGGCTCAGTGGAAAAGCACATACCTTACATGTTCAAAGCCCTGGATCCAATCCCCAGCGCTGAAAAAGAGGCTAATTCTTGCACACTAATCACACGGCTATTTTCACACATCATCTCAAACACTCTATGTACAACCCAAGGAGTTTCAAAGAAAAGCTTCAAGGAGGATTTTGGGAGGAAATTTATCTCCTGTCTTATCCCCAGATTTATCTCAAGTAAATGAGAAGAACTGCCTATCAGAAGACTATCTTCTTTTCCTATATTTGTTGCCCCTTTTCTCTCCTTTTATTTTTTTTATAATTTTTATACTTGTAGCTTTATTTTTGTTAAATTGTGACATTTATTTACATTTTTCATCTTTTCAGGCTAATGGCAAACAAATTTCACATTCAGAAAATGTCCAAGCAAAATATTCTCCAAAACAGTAATTGAAACAAGCTTTCCTCATATATCCATGAGATGAACAAGTCTGAGTCAGCACCCTCGGATACCGATTTCCTCGGATGTTTTCATTCCAAACTTCTAAGAAAATGATAATCTTCATTCACTCAGGCTCAGAATATGTTCCAGATGATACAATTATCATGTAAAAATGAACAATATTCATTTCAACATGTCCTAAGCAGAAGCATAGCCATTAAAGGTAAATAATGATAACGGTACATCTTCTCTGGTGGCCCCAGCGTCTGGATGGGCCAATCAGCTTCCACAGTAGGTGGGAGAGGTCAGCAAAAACACCTGAGGGAGCAAAGGCTCCTGTCACCAGGCAGCTTTCAGCCCTGGCAATAACAACTTCCATATTGTGACAAAATGAAATTTGACATGAAAAACTAACTCAATTCCATGGGGTCTTGCAAGGAACACACGAGGCAGACAGAACTCTGACCTTGCATTTGTCAGTACATACAAGGTGTCATAAATTTCAACTCTCCTGAACTGCTAGAAAGCAAGGTTATTTGCTCATGACTGCTCATCAGGAAATCTTTATTTTGTGAACTCAGCTTTCACATTGTTACATAATGCAATAATCAGAAACAGAGCATTGTGAGAAATTTCTGTAGATTTTACCATCTTGTATTCACATACCAATTCCCATTTTGAAACAGCACCACAAAGAAACCGGTGATGACAAGGAAAAGATATCCTCACCCAACCTAATCTGTTGAAGGTTTAATACTCAAGGTTCCTGTTCTCTCCCTTCTTGTAGAAACTCTTGGACTCTGAGGATCCTTAGATCTTCGTAAAGTCAAAAGTCAGCACACCCCTCGAGAGATGAGAATAACTAAGAATATATTTTAATTTTAAGACATTTTTAGTACCTCCCTTCCTGTCCTGTTTCCTAAGGAGTGCATAGATTTTTTAACTTAAATTATAAACAAGCTTATTTTACATGTCAATCCCTGTTCCCTCTCCCTCCCCTCATCCTGTGCCCTGCACCAGCCCCCCATTCCATCCCCTTTCTGCTCCCTAGGGAGGGTGAGGCTTTCCATGGGGAATCTTCAAAGTGTGTCATATTATCCAAAGCAAGGCCTAGGCCCACCCTCTTGTGTCTA